GACCAGTGTTCGCTGAGTCCTCCGGCTGATGGGTGAGTTGAGAGGCGATCCGCTTCGAAGGCCGATTTGCAACTGTCGGTGATAGTGTATTGTAATAACCCACGATCTTATAGTAAACCATGTTCTCTTTTGATTATGTGAGTGTGGAACGAGTAAAGGCCAAAATTAGTCTGTGTGAACAACACTTCTGTGCGGAGTGATATGCGTGATCAGTAGGTCTCTCGGTAGCTTTAAAGTGCTAACTGATAAGACAGAAATGTAGTAAACTGACTCCGAAGTTCACAAAAAAAATACTTTCTGCTGCTTTCGTTCGATTCAGCATGGCTGTTTGCACAACCGTCAGTTTATCAATTCCACGTGTCAGTTTGGATTGCTGTCTTTTGACGACCCGTTGATTCGACCAATGAATCAGAGAAGAAAGTCCAGTGCTGCTTGGACAACCGAATCTCCCTTGATGATGCAAATCGGACTATGGATATGGAAAGCTTGTTGGTGTTTTCTGTTTCGGACCGTAATGAGCTTGTTCGTTAGGGATCGAATATGGTTGCTACTGCGATTCATCTGCCACAGAGACTTACCCATGACGCGTTGAGGATGCACGAGAGTAATCTGTTATTTCATCAGTATTGTTCGAGCCTCGGGACTTAACAAAATCAGCTACACTGAATACAGGTGCATGGTACACGGGGACAGTTGCTCAACTTGCGCGAAACACTCTGATTTGAGATCACCAAAGCAGTTAGTAGCTAAACAGAAGAAAGATGACCAGTTTGTAACTATAGAGGCACAAGGCATGGAGATCATCATGAGGAGATTTGGTCAAGTACCGGTAGTTCTAGAAAGAAGATTAACTCTACTGCTGATGATCCTGAAGGAAAACTGACGCAGTCTCAAAATCACGTTACAGGAACTGCTGAAGCACAAGTAGTCATCTCGCATGATCAGCTGAATAATTGTTTGGATTGATAGAGGTACATACCTAATCCGATCAGCAAATCCTCTTGCTTAATGCACTGAAAACCGTAAATGAGGCTTAAGGAAGCCTAAGAAATAATAGAGCAAACCTGACATATAATCTCGTGAAAATGTGATCTACTTTTCCCCCCATGCATTCGCCTGAAGTGGGACATATGCAGTTATTTACGTCTGGTTAGATAGCAGCTAAGTTCGACCAAAGTTAGAAACGTTGAAAGACAAGACTGCTCTACACTCAATCACTCACTCATTTACATCGTTATTCCGACCTGGAGCAAGCTAACCTTGTATCCGTGGTTGCATTATGTGACATGATTGTATTCGTCATTCTGACCCTATCAGTTTTAAGGCTAGGCCATTTCAAATAATTGGTCAGTATTGTAGGTAGGTAGCTAATCACTGTGTTTTCACTCCCCTACTTGTTACGTGTTCAATACAACGTGACTAATCGATACAAGTGTTATAAAACCAAAATTTCTGCATCTTTTTGCACCGTGCCCCTGCAAAATATCAGATAGGTTGATTAATCTAAGTTACCTTATTCGACTCCTTCTTTATATTACAAGATTGATACAAGTCTGGGTCAAGCCAAGGACACCCAACTACTGAGTCTTCCGATCAGCTGTTTACTGAAGGATTGCAAAAATCAATGACATCTAAATATTAGGGTAAGGGTCACCATAAATTCAATCGAACCCGGGAACACATAGGATTATGAGGATACGATTTATTCTACACGGACATGAATAACCGTAAGAAGGGTACTATTTCAATGAAAGCTTTTTATTCTATTTCCTTTGTTATCAGTTTACAACCAACTAGCGTTTGAATATCATAGGTGGCCGACCGTTGACAGTTGGTGGAACGACGCGATGTACTTTGGTGCGAACTTTTTGTAACGAGGCAAACGTGTGACGCAAAAGATTGTCATCAATTGGCCGTCGCTCTAGCATCGGATTATAAAACAGTACGGGTTTACGTGAATTCTTATTAGTACGACTAAGGCCAGGGTTGCTTCGCCGAACGGATTCCCGTTGCCATGCGACAGTCGTGCCGGATTTGGCCACGGTTTGTGGACCGGTAGATTGTAGTCGACTGGTTTCGGTTCGTGTGGTTCTTTTTGGCACTCGTTTAGGACATGTTGCGTCCGAGTGCGATTCCAAATGGGGGGTTGAAATCCACAGGGAACGTGTCTAGTGCACCGAATGTGGCGAGGTGGTCGGGTACGATCGCACACTGAGCGCTTTTTGCCGAGTTATTCGACGGGATCCGACTGCACGAAATGTCCCAGATTCACTTTCTGTACGTGTGGATTCCAGTTCCCATTTGTTGGAAGAGCCATGTTTCTTGGTCAGAACATTCGCTGGTGGAGTGTGAAATGGATAGGCTCGACTTACACAATGAGGTGAACTGCTTACGGACGAACGATGTGTACTGATCGAACGATAGATATGAGGTGCCGAGTATTGTCTTTTCATCTCACGTAACTCCATCAGCAAAGCATGTCTAGTTTTTCGTTCTTGTGGGCTGGACCGAATTGGACTAATTTGTCGCACACCGGATCGTACTGGTAGAAATGGCATGCGTGAACGACGCTCTTCCAAACGGACAAGCTCGAATGTGGGTGGCTGTGATATAGATTTACTAGTGATCGTACGCACTCCTCCTCGTCCTCGACTTGGAAAAGTGTGTCTCGGGGAACTGACCGAGGAACTCGCATCTGCATCGCTCATGTCGGAATCCAGATCGCGGAACCGACGTCTCAAATGGTTCTGTGAATTGATACGGCCCCGAAAAGCGGCCGGATGCACGTTGGACTTCCGATAGGACGGTATAGTGTTTGTCACGCGACTATCTCCACTGCTTGCGTCCATATCCAACTGATGACGACGAAGCCATATTCGATCAGATTTTCCAGCCGCTCGTTCAGAGTAAGTCAACGGTACATGCCTGGTTAAAGTATGTCTAACTTTTGGGGGATGCGAGGCTGAGGATGGTGTATAAGTGCCGTATTTTTGCAAACGAGTCTGAGCGTCTACTGGACATCGGGGAAAGGTACCAAACGAGTCACTCGATGCGACGGATGATTTCGATTTGCTTCTAATTTCCGAAGGCGATTCCCAAATTGACGACCGTCTCTGAGCACAATCACCCACATCACGCACTTGGGGTACAGACTCTCCAGGAACGGGCGACTTCAAAGGCTCTTTTATCAGCGAACCACTAATTTGATTACAGCGATCCGAATTATGCGGCCATGGATTTTCTCCTTGCGCACGAGTGACTGGAATATTGTTCTCTTTTGGGCCCGGAGTAAGCCTGGTTAGTTCCATTTCTGTTTGAACAGCAGCCTGTGTGCAACTGGATGCCGGACGGCTACTGGATGAGATAATAGAACCGCGCGCGGAACATTTAGGACATACAGTTCGTGACGATTCGAACCATAAATCATTCCCGTTTCCGCTACCTCCACTAAAACAGTGACAGACACCGCCACCAATGCAAACAAGACATGATGAATCCG